ACTTCCGTAACGAAAATAAAAACCTAACACATGATGAGGTAATAGGTGCGGCCAATACGCATTAGAGTGGGACAGAACGCATACTACGTATTCACATCTCTATAGTATTGGATGGTGGATCGGTGGATCAGTAACGTAGCGTAAGCGCGGCCGGTGCAGCCGAGTGAGACAGACTATATAGGCGTGTTAGTCTGAGTCTGGTAGAGTGGTAGAGAGGTAGATTGAATTAATATCAAAGACAAAAAACCACATAAATAAATAATTATAATTGCATAAATTGATAAAAAATGCTATGCAATAGCTTTACAGCGGCAGGCCCCGAGTGCCACACGTTTTTTTAATGACAATTGTACCGGAGACGGGTAAGACTCAGAAGAGAGAACTAGCGCTATGAGGGAATTCCGGATATACGGAAGTAATAATTTTTGCTAAGCCTCAACTCGAATAGGGTTAACAAAGGTTGACCCTAATATTCTGGTACAAAAACACGTAGCTTTGCGCGTGGCGCTGTTTTATATTTCAGAAATATTTTACGCATACTTGTAAAATTCCTTTGATTAATCATTATTTATAAAAACAGCGTATACTTTTGTTATCTTTTTGTTGTGTGACATCCCTAATGATCGAGGGACCAGTCCACCGTGACAACTAATTTCCCTTGTTAATTTTATGTTTTCCTTTGTTCTCAGGGATATCAGAGAAAGGTAACTATGGCAACCAGAACCTTGCGTTTTTATAGCATGCTATTATTGCCTTATTTGTATAGGAATGCCAACAATTAGGATACATATTAATTTAATTAATAAAATTTCAATTGAGGTTTTTAAGTAATCAGATGTTTTAAAACGAAATTGGGTCTTGAAGACAATTCATCCTCCACTTGACAACTATCTGAGGCACATAGTACATTTATAAATAAACTAATAATAAAACTGTTTTGTATATACCCGCGAGCTTATTATACGAGTCCAATACTCACTACTGCCAAGCACAACACAATACAAGTCAAAATCCGATTGTCAGAAGGAGTCAAGGTAAAATTTAAGAAGCGGAAATAAGGACGATGGAGGTTTGTAACGAATTCGAATATGATAAAAATAAAATAAATCAGTGGCGCTACAACCTCCAGTGCCTGACACACGCCGTCGACTTTTTGCGTCTAAGACATGTCGGTTTCCTGACGATGTTTACCTTCACCGTTCGAGCAAATGTTAAAAGCGCTCATAGAAAGAAATTCCTTTTGTGCACAGCCGGGAATCGAACCTACGACCTCAGGTATAAGAGTCGCACACTGAAGCGACTAGGCCAACACTGCTATTTATAATATTTTTTTATGATAAAAATACCTAGACGAAATCGACTCAAATGTTCACTGTGGTTTACTGAAATGATCAGTGATTTATCAACAACATTTCTGTACATTATTTTATTAATAGGTTTTCAAATTCACTGTTTTTTATCCAATTAAGCGGCAACACTGAACACCTACTTAAAAACATTTTCAATACAAGTATGCTTCCCTTCGTATTGAATGAGCCAAAATCAGTACTGAAATTCTAAAAAGGACAGATTTGTTTATTTGCAATGAATAAAGTCAATAACTACTGTAACGGAAAAATTCTTTCACCATAAGAATGCTACGTTATCGCCAGGTAAAATAGGCTATATTGATTTCAAAAATATGTCTTATCGTGCGAAACGGGAATATGTATGTATTATATATATTGCTTTATTCAATTGAGTAACAGAGGTGAAAGCCTAATCTTCGCCTAAAACTATTAGGTTAGGCCATAAAAAGGGACAATGTTTCAAAATGAAGGTAGCATTTGGTAAATTCGGCTGAGTGTAACTTGTCAAATATTGACGAGTGACGACACAGCTGGGCATTTAAATATAAATTGAATTAAATGAAAGTGCTGCCAAATAGCGAGAAGATTGATTACCCCTGACCAATATACTTTAGATTACACTTAGGCATAAAATCGGATAACCCATCTCCATATCCAATAAAACGTTTATTTAATTCATAGTCGCACGAATTCCTAAGTCTGCCTTTTAATAAATTTAAGAAATGTATTAAAGAAAAGCTGTGTACAAAGGCTTACTATAATATTAACTATAAAGTTAACTAGTAACTATCTAGTTGATAAAAGGGCCAGGGACTAGTGCTAGACAGGCTACTTCTAATTAATTTGCAATATTTGTTTTAAAATAAGTGTTGTTTGATGATTTGCTATTTTAAAAGAGTACCGAGTGTTTTTTACGCCGGCTTTTTCCCTCTGTCTTCTTTGCCGATGAGTAGGGATGCCTACAAATTCAAATTTAATGACGTGGAATAAGTGATACATGTATCTTATGTTCCATAATAAACATATTTTTAATTTATTTTAACAAACAAACAAAATAACAATAATCAAAAAAATATATAAAAGATTACGATTTTTTTAAAGAATTAAATATAAATAAATACAATAAATCAGTGGCGCTACAACCTCTTTAGGTCTTGGCCTCAGATTTCTGAATCTGTTCCATGATCATTTTTAAATCTAATAGGCAAGTAGGTGATCAACCTTCAGTGCCTGACACACGCCGTCGACTTTTTGGGTCTAAGACATGTCGGTTTCCTCACGATGTTTTCCTTCACCGTTCGAGCAAATGTTAAATGCGCACATAGAAAGAAAGTCTATTGGTACACAGCCGGGGATCGAACCTACGACCTCAGGTATGAGAGTCGCACGCTAAAGCCACTAGGCCAACACTGCTCTAAAGAATTAAATATACAAAATAATAATAGATAAATAATACTGTACTATATACAAGAACGACTGCTTTCATTTACATATGCTATTATTGCGATACCGCTTAGGTAAAAACAAAACAACCCCAACGGGCTTTGAGATAATACGACCCTTGGGCGGCACGGTGGCAGAAAGGTATTTTTAGCTTAGGCATAAAAAAGGATTGAAACGAAAATCGCTGATGAACAGAAGCATTAACGCCTAAAAATAAAATAAAAAACGTGTGGCACTCGGGGACTGTCGCGGTAAAGCTATTGCATAGCATTTTTTATCAACTTATGCAATTATAATTTTTTATTTTATTTATGCAGTATTTAACGCGTATGGGCCGCATCTATATTACGTCATCGTGTGTCAGGTTTTTATTTTCGTTACGGAATTTCTTGATTCGGTCGCCGCGCTCAAAGCCTTCTATAAAATCTATAGAATAGCTTAAATATTGAATTACTTCACATGATAACTTATATTTGATATTGAAACATAAGCCATAAACAATTATTTAATTTTCCACAAAATCCAAAAATTTTAAACGCTGTATTTGGTTCGAAGTTTTAAATAAATGTATTTACTTAAACATTGGTTTTTCAGTGCTGTATGCCGTCTCAATTACCCGGAAATAAAAGTGATCCTTAAATTCTTGCTGCTCTTCTTGCTGGAAATCTTTTTAGTGTAAACCCAGCCAAGGAATCTTAACGTGCTCTTCCGCAGTTTACATTTGAGGTAATAAAGTCTTAATCTCTTCAGCCATTAGCCTGGGCAGTCACAATAAATGGGATAATACAACTAACAAGATTTATATGTTTGAGAAAAATGCAAAAAATTGTGTTTATTCTTTTTCAAATAAATGTTATAAGTATGATCTGTTAGCGTAAAAATCCGACAATAACTATTAACAAAAATTCCCTAAAACGACGTTATAATATAAAAATTTTAAAAAATCGTGGCACTACAACCTTTTTAGGTCGGCCTCAGATTTCTGTATCTGTTTTTGTCATGACTATTTGTCAATCTAATAAGCAAGTAGGTGATTTTAGGGTCCTTCAAGAAAAGAGCGTACCAATTCTTAAAAGGCCGGCAACGCACTCGCGAGCCCTCTGGCATTGAGTGTCCATGGGCGGCGGTCACTTACATCAGAGGCCTCTCCGTTTGCCCCCGTTCTTAAAAAAAAAAAAAAACCCCCCTGGGCCCAAAAAATGGAAGGGAAGCCAGTTTCCTCACGATCTTTTCCTTCACCATTCGAGCTAATATTAAATGCCCATGGAAAGAAAGATCACTGGTGGACAGCCGGGGATCGAAACTACGACCTCAAGGATGAGAGTCGCACGCTGAAGCCACTGGGCACTCGACGTTGATAAACCAACGTCAATATTTAAATACAATATATGACCATGACTAGAAAGGCTTAACAAAATTCAAATACCAGAGATATATCTTTTTTATTAGAGGTTGCTTTGTTCTTTGGTAATAAAGTCGCTGAGAACACCTAGTAATTGTATAAAAATAACGCCCGAAGCCCTCCTGTAATTCATAACAAACGAAATAATATTTAGAGAAAACAAAAGGTAATTGTTTTCACGTTCAAATTGATCGCACGCGTGCCTTGTAGGTTTCGCTCCAGCATTTGACAACCAGACACAGGTGCGGCTTAGCCTTTGTGCATATAGCATGCGATATTACCGTAATAATGTACAAATTATATAAGTAATATTTGGATTACCAACATGATTCTAAAATGACGTTCATAAACCACTGAATTGATAAACCTTTATCCCATATAATGGGTAAGTCATATGTAAGGTAATAGCTACCGTTCTTATATATCGAAAATAGCGGTTTGTTTCAAATATTTTTTTTTTTATTTTTATGTGTATAAAATAAATAAATATTGGAATATGTAAGAAATAAGAATAAATAAAATGCACGTGTAAAAATTACATGAGAACTTACGAATCACGGGCAGGGATGAGAAGATTCATCTTCCTCGCAATCAAGATGCCCGCGATAAGGCCGCGTTTTATTGAAGGGAGACTAGATATTTTAAATTAACTAACATCTGAATAAATTAATCATTCGCTAAAAAAATTTAGTAACAAATAAATATAATAAACAGGCAACGAAAACCACATTTCAAAGTATTTTAAGCAAAATGTTTGATATCCTCACTATGTATAATATGAAGAGAAAGAAAAGGTAATAGCGAATATGGAGAGTCAAGTTAGTAATAATATACGTAATCAGCCGCTGCACGGGGGTGACCCCCGGGAGCTGACGCTAGATGTGATAGTGTGTATGGGAGCCATCAGCGCCTCTCTACTGAACAGGAGTCGGGAATCTGAAGATATTACCCGACCAGCTGGGAAAGACGGGGGTGGACGACGCTGCGCTTTGCCCATAAATTCTGTCGGCTCATCAATATCGACCACAATTAAAAAATTAAAAATACGAAGAAAGTGGTCAACAGACGAAATAGAAAAGCTTATGTTTTGCTGTGCTTGGATTCCTACATCGAACTACTTTACCCCAGAACATGACCTTAGACTACAATTATAAATCATAAATGGGGACGTAAGTGCCTTTTTCTTGAGGGTCTCAAGATGGGCACTGACGATACACCGGCTGTACCTACTCTGTTCAGGTTTTAATCAACTTTTCAAATATAATCAATCGTAAATAAGATCTTTTCGAATTATTTTTAGCAAACATCTCTCACTATCTATACCAGGCTTTATAACTAGAACCATCAGCATGAATACACCCCACGTCACTGAAACATTTTGTAAGTGATTTTCAGCCTCTGTTTTTGATATAATTTTTATACATCAACGAAATTAAATTACATCATTCAAAATAGAATTCAAAATACTCAGTTGATTTAATAATAAATGCTTCGAATGAGTTTTTATTCGATGTTGTAATTCATCGACTTTCATTTGGTTGTGAATTTGTAATCTATTTAGGTTAAATAAAGATTTTATCTAAGGTTTCACGCGGCCCAATTGTTTATTCCTCCCTTCGCTTGTTGGGAACAATACGACATAAACTAAACAGGAGAAACAAATTCAAGTGGCTTGCGGTCGCGGTAATTTAATTAAATTTACGGACTGACAGAAAGATCTTTACGATTTATCTATGTTATAAAATTAGAAATACAATTAATAAATACGGTGTTCTCAGTATATTCAAGACATTTAATACATTTTAATATATTTAATTTTTATTTGACTTAGTCATAGTAGTTTAGTAGTTTAGTAGTAGATTTTATATTAACTTAGTCGCTTTAATCACAGGTAACCATTGATACCATATCTTGCTCTTTATATGAGTAGATAATATACGTATATTATAAGACAATAGAATCATTAACTAGAGAATTCGTAACTCAGTAAAAACAAATTACGCGATAATAATAAAAAAATTAATTGGTGCTAATAAGAATTATATTATAACAACGACACAACATTCGAATACATATAAGTTCCTTAAGCAAATTAACATTCCTACTTAGTATTCTTATTTTGTAGTAAGTTGTGAAGTTAATCAGCAATCCTCAGACGTCCAGCTTGTTTAACATAACCGCAGAAAAACGAAACAAAAATTAAGCTTTACAAAGTAGAAACCATGTTCATTACGGAAAGAGATTTCAAAATGTGTTTTTAAATGCAGTATAGAAAAGTATTAAAAGAAAAAGTCGTTTCGGTATTGATCTATAAAAAGTTTAATTTCATTTGTATAACAGCTATAACCGTTCTTTGGTAAGGCACAAAGTAATGCCATAAGAATTAAAGGGTATATTTAATTTTCATGGGGAAAGTAGTTGTGCATACCCTCCAAAGACGCGACTTCCTGGTGCGGAGATTTTCTTTAAATTTGGATAAGCTATAAAATACGTAACTACATCTTTGTAGTTTGTTACATGGAAAAAGTTCTTAATTTTAAATTGTTACAATATAAGATTCTTAATTGCTATACATTATACAGAGCAAGTGATGATTTTATCTGGTGCGGAGGGTTAGGCGGGACGCTATTGTGAATACCCTCAAAACCTCAAGGTGTCCCCATCACTTGCTCTAGGTGGGGTGATGCAGATGGAGAGGATGCAGTAACCGTGGAGCCTTGTTGATCTACTACTGCTAATAATAATGGGAATGTCAACAATTTCTTTCTGTCAAAAGTATCTGAAAGTACGTATAGCAAAGAAAACTTTGCATTGTATTGGTGTATTTTATTAGTTTAGGTCAGTCAAATTAAAATAGTTATTTATTTTTTTATAGAACGGCAACTACTTTTTTCGTATAAAATCTGTGACTATTGATAAATCGTTTTATTCCTCGATCAATCAATCACTCACGCTTATATCCAAAATACCTATTGTACATCGCAGATTTATGGATAGAAAGATTTTCCTACAGAAAAATCTACTTGTCGCAATATAGACTAATTAATAATACGTTGGATATAGAAGACGTCAATATTTCTACACTAATACTATTTAGATGAAAGGATTTTTTATCCATATAGTGTTAGTGTATACTATTTCTATGAATTTATTTATGAAGCGATGAAATTAATATTTTGATTCGATAATAAATCTTGTTCTTCTTATGCCACTTAATTGCTAATGCTTAAGTTGGCTATTAACAGCCTGGAGTGCCACGGTGCGAGGTGCTGAAGGAACGGGAAGCGGGTAGCGTCCGCCTGCTTGAACATACATCGGGCTGTCCGTGCGATGAAGTCGTTCATCCGATCTTCGGTCTACATGTACTTCCAGAAAGGTGACCGTGCTCTGCCATGTCAGGTCTTCGTTGAGGAAGCGTAGAAGAGGCGGGGGTAGCTTCGCCAGTTAGCCGATTGCGTAAAGCGTTGCCTCATCAAAAATTTCTCAAGATCTTCCTTCTACCAGTCAGCCGATAATAAATACATAGTATAATGCAACTGCGGGGAGCAGGGGCCGAGCTAGCGTGTGGTGTTCTAAAGTCTCGTTCTTCTCCTGAGGTCACTGACCATACCACGAGCCGTACGTCACTACTTCCGTAGTTGCAGACTTTTTACAAAAATATTCTTTTTAACGTGACAACGTCTTATAATTCGATGGAGCCGGCTGCACGCACAAAAAAACATGACGCATGCGGCGTTACCTCGCGAAGAGGCACAATCGGCCTCCGCGTACGGCAGCGTTCGATATCTATATTGTATATATCGTATTATATCGATTATATTGTAATCGATCAATTCAATTGTGATTTCCATTTACCTCCTTCTCTATACAAGTATCCATACAAAATATCTATCAATCAAATTAAATTTAAATTTACTTTTGAAAAATGTAATTATTCCATTAGTATTTTCTTATCACGTTGCCACGTTCAACTATCGTCAGTAAACCGACTTTACAGACAACCCATTTCTTTATTTGCCTGGTCGTCAACACAGAGCCTGAAATGTCGACAAAAAAACACACCTACTCGTTATTCTCAAATACTTTCTCTCAATTTATTTGCTCATACATATAATACGCATTAATTAATTATAAAAATTGTTAAAGATGTAAAAACAAGCCGAATAGAAACTTTGAAATAGCAAAGTTCAACGAAGCTTCGTCACTTTATTAGCCCTGTCAAAGAGCGTTTCATAATTCTACAGAGAATTGCAATTTTGAACACCGTTAGAATAATAGAAATGATTAGTAACTCTGCGTAGTCCTAATTTATATTATAAACTGTCTGGTTAAATAATAAGTCCTCTTTGATTTACATTTATAAAAAATTCTTAAATTTAAAGCGATTAATAGGTTTAAAGACGTTTATTCTGATAACAGACAATAGTCACTTACATGAGAACTTATATACTAAAGATACAATTTATCACGTCGTGGGTCATTGAAGAACTTCAAGGATCAATTTGCTAAGTAGAACTTGGGTGGACTTTCATTTACGCTGGTAACTGGGATCACTCAAGAGATGGTCTTTTAGTCTAAATTTAAATATTAATGAAATCACGTGAAAAAGTATTCCTTTTTGTAGTTAATATAAGGATTAATGTTATATTCGTATTCCTAAAAAATTTTAACTATCAAACTACAAAGTAATATATTCGTGTATACTAAATATGTTGTGTCCAATGAAATAGAGGAAACACCGTGTACCTCAGAGACCTAAGTTTTTAATTGCCTATTTGTATTATATAATTTATAAACAAACCATTTTATAAATATTACAACCTCTTTCCCTCTATACGAGTAAGTATGTCGTGGAAGTGGTATATTATTTAAATTAAATAAATTAAAAAAAAATCAGTGGCGCTATAACCTCTTTAGGTCTTGGCCTCAGATTTCTGAATCTGTTTCATGATCATTTTTTCAACCTAATAGGCAAGTAGGTAATCAGCCTCCAGTGCCTGACACACGCCGTCGACTTTTTGGGTCTAAGAGATGTCGGTTTCCTCACGATGTTTTCCTCCACCGTTCGAGCAAATATTACATTCGCACATAGAAAGAAAGTCTATTGGTGCACAGCCGGGGATCGAACCTACGACTACCAGTAGGCCAACACTGCTCTATGACAATAATTATTATGATAAATTAAAGCAATCTTATTATCAAAAGTCAAACGTTTCTTGACCTTTTCAAATAAAGATAAATATAGCTTTATGATATCTGTATATCAAAGTCTGGGAAAGTTTTACGACAGAATGTCCCGATAAACATATTTGGAAATGACGGTCTCCAGACATGCTCTCATTTTGTAATTTAGAGTCAAATGGATGTTTCGTCTTTGGACGTCTAACTATTACAACATTTATCGTGTTATCGATAACTATCATATTTATTACTTATTTTTAGATAAATCTACCCATTTAATAAAATATTTTTGTTAACAGTCGAAGGTGGAAAGTTTTAAAAGAAATTTTATAAAACGCAATTCTTTTCATTCAATTAAACCTTTTACTCAGTATAATAAATTTCCTAATAGGGTTAACAAATAAATAATGTAGATCAAATTGTTGGTATTTTATGTCCAAACAAATGTGTGTAATATTACATAGAAATCCTATAGTTATTAGAAGTCGAAATAAACTACATATATTTTTACAAAGTAAATAAAATATCGAGAAACAAATATACGACAATTTGTTCTTTAATTTAATTGAAAATTTGTATACTTATCTAGATTAACAAGAAAAAAAGGATTGTGTGGTTTTATGAAACCACGGTAAAAGTGAAAGTTTTTTTTCACATTATAGACATTTAACTAAAAAAATTTGGAATAATATTCTATTAAGGGTATAAAAATCGCTTTATCAATCTTAATTTTTTACTTGGAAAATTGGAATGATAATGGGAAATAACAAAAGTAGACTAAGTCTCCAACTAATATTTTTATTGAACTCTGTGTCTTAGAGAGTACGACATACATAATACTTAACAATGATTTAGATTATATAAACATATTAATAACAATTATTAAGATTATATACACATATTAAATAATAGTCTATACACGGTCAGCTGCTGCGAACTATAGGCGCCGCCATATTGGCCTTGGCTGCTATGA